TTAGATCTGAGATGGTGCACACAGCGACAAATATTCTGCAACAGTCCCAACATTAAAAAACACCAGCAAGGGAGAGCAGCGTGTGCATGAAAGAGCAAAAGAGAGAGCGAAAGAGAGATTTCAAGAAGTTGCCATTACATCCCCTGTCTCCCATGGTTGTGAATTTTGTATGCGGCGTTGAGATGCCATAGAAAAGTCGTTCCCCAGAGTGGCAAATGTGCCAAAAGCAAGCCAGTAAATAACAGTCTCCATTCTTCAAATGAATGCTAATTTCATACTGTATCTCTCTCTCTCGCTCGCTCTCCTCAACTTTGTTCACATATTGATGTGCTCTGAAATCAACTTCAAATGGTGCCAGTGATATCGCTGAGAAACGGATCCCTGATTCTTCTCCGTGTCCTTTTTTTCTTCTGCAGCGATGCCCCGAATGTCGGTTTCATTAGCTTGCCGCTAATTAGCCTCCTTCTGCTGATTTGCAAGTCGATGGCGGTGGCTGCAGGACAGGCGTCTTTGAGGCTCTCGCCCCTCTGATCTTGGGGGTCCTCCAGTCCCCCTCCCGTCCGCCGAGCGCCTAGCCTTCTCCACAATTAGTACTAAAGAAATTCATGTTCCTTTTCACAGATACATTATTCATATTGTCTCAGAACGTAAATAAATCATGACGTTCTAGAGGGCTGAGCTCAACCTATCCTGTTTCTCCGTTACTGCGAGCTTCAGTCGACTTTGGTCAAGTGACCTTCGCCCATTTCCTTCTCAAACGCCTTCACGGCTAGGTCAGTGAACCAATTTAGTGCCTCGAAACACCTATATGCTCCTGATAGATGTCTGGCTACTTAATCCAGTGATTATCTGATTAGTGTTGGTAAATATGAGGGCTAACAAAGCCGGGATTTCTTGAGGCCATCGGAGTGCAAGTAATCCTTGCACTTGTGATTTCTCTTTTCTGCCGTTGATCAAGCGTTTCTGGGAGAAGCGCTAACTGGACAGACACGCTGCAGTCATTTCAATGATTTAGTAGCTTCACTTTGTGCTATTATTCATTGGTCTGAAGGGAGGCCAGGTTCGGCCGAGAGGCCTGCATGTTTTATAACCACTGGAGGGCAAAGCTTTCCACCACAGCCCTGCACTTCTGTTAGGGGAGACCAGACTCTTTCACACATGGAGATGTGCTGTAAACACAAACTGAGATAGTGCTTATTCACACACACAGACAGAGAGACCAGTGTGGAGGACGCTGAGACCAGAAAGCTGTTTGGACTGACGGTTCATGACCATGCCGAGTCCTAATCCCTTTGTCCACCAGAAATAACAGCATTTGTTGTGCATACACTGCATGTCGGAGGAGATATGAGAGTGTTTTACAGTGTGCCAGGCTGTAAAACTCTAAAAAACTCTTCTTATAGCCTAGAAACTCTAGCTGGTATCCCAGACTATCTGTTTTATTGGTTTTAAGCCCGGGACACACTGCACGATTTTTGGCTGTCCTAGACGAAAGAGTGACATCGTGAAAAATCGTGGTGATTTCTATAACCGTGGCTCCTAATCGGTGGTCCTATGTCGTACAGTGAAAGAGGATCAAAGATGGCCATTGTCACGGTCTTGTGACCAAAGACAGCCTACGATAATTTTCTGACAGTGTCAGAAATTCAGCATGATCATCGCGCAGTGTGTTCGCTGCTACGACCCATCTTTACTAACCAGCCAATAAAAATGCGACATGAAATCAACGCGACACGGCGTTAAAACATAAAACTGCTTACCTCGAGCTCTTCCCCTTCCTCTTTTGGAGCTTCGTCTTTTTTTCTGCACACATAAAAAGTACAACTGCAAAACTGTGAATCATCATGCTCTTTTTGTTTACCACTAGCACATGCTGATGGCGTTTTATTCTTCAATAGAAACTTCCATGTCCGTGTCGCACAGTGTGATTTGTAATGATCTTGATTGCTGAAATCGCACAGTCTGTAAAAGGCTTTAGAGGGGATACCAGATAGCTGACCAGCTTTACCAGGCTCAACCAAATTCAGAAGTGAATATTTGACTCCTGGTCAATTCAAGAGTGTGCATCTGAAATAAACTGGGCACACCCACTGGAAGGAATTCAAATTTGAATTGGAATTTACTGACTTGCAATTCAAAGAAATTCAACAAGTTATACATTCTGGGAAATTAAGATATTAGATATTAGATAGATATTCTATCTATCTATCTATCTATCTATCTATCAAACCTTGGAACTTTTATAATATTTCAAACAAGGTTTTCACGTTAACTAAAGGTTGGTCTCAACTAACTTAGCTTTTCTAGCTATATTAACTTATTTACAGTTCAGTGCAGTTTAACTCTACTTCCTTACATTCAAATTGCACTTTGCAATTTAATTAAAATTTAGGAATCTAATCAGAATTTAAAAGGCATTCTCTATTCATTTGGGCCCATCTTAGTCCAGCGTTGTCATGCTGACACGGTTAAGTTAGCATCAACATACAGGGTTAGTGTATTGGGTCTCAAAGTGCTACATGAAAACAAACAAATACTTTTAAAATTGCCTTTCAACCGTCTTTGTCGGTTCTGGTATCCATAAACATGTCCATGTCAGCGAGGACATGAGGGTGATAGGTAAAGTAATTACCATGCAGCCATATGATTTTTCCTTACGACAATGACTGCCGAATTCTGCTCCCCCTTCAGAAGTCTGTTTGCAAAGTGTGCTATTAGGGATTTTCTATGGACTCATTTGGAGCAACAAATAAGCAAATATGAATATGTGGCTTCATTTTTCTATCCAATTAGAGCAGATATCGGGCATTTACTACATTTCAAAGAGTCCTAGGTTCCATTTCGGTTTCTATAACTGCTCTTTAGAGAGAGAGCAATGGCGCCATTTTGGGTGATTTGTTGCACAGATTGACTATGTCTTTGTGCAGGACGGAGCTTTGACTCATTGAGTCAGGGGTGACGAGAATGGGGCACCCTGTGGTTTTAGCAAGTCTGCTGAATTGCTAATGAAAGAGGAGGGGGGCGAAACTGACGAGGGAAACCAGGGCCGAGACAGGCACCTCATCTGAATCATTTAGGCCGGGCCCAATTATAGATCTGATCCGTTAGTGAGAAAAGAAACGGGCGTTTTTAAAGGCAACACAAATCAATGAGATCTGACAGTAATCTGTTTGACAGAAATACCTGTTAGCGGTTTGAGGGTCATTACCTCTCCGTCGCCCGATGCATTATGGCGATGAAACACGAAATGGAAACACAAAACAGTGGGAGGCTGCATGCCATCTGCATCGTGGCCGATGACTGCTTGTTTGTTAGCCCTAGAGCAAGCGGGCATCTCAATTTTACACCCCTTGAAGAATTTCCTTCTCGTAAACTGCTGAGGTTAGCGCCCTAGTCCACCTTGACCCGCCTCTCAACCCGATATTATGTTATTGCACTTTACTCACCCCCTTGTTTGAGTCTCCTGCAAATACACAGCCATTGATAATCATTTGCAGGAGTTTTCAAGAGCTGTCAAAGTTCACAAAGCAGCCTGACTGCTTGGAGGGAGAGCGAGGTGGAAGGATATCGATTCCTGTTGAATCACACACACACACAAGAATTCGAAATGCAGCCGGTTACGGATCTCCGAGCTGCCAAAATCAGCAATTGTCAGTAAACACTATTAGCATAGATTTGGGCATCGCATTCCCTCCCTGCTCGACTGAATACTGTGGTCCATATACAGTATAAAAGCCCATCTGTAGTGGCCTGAATCCTGGATCAGGGGATGGTGGAGGGTCTTCTCAGAAGCCGACCCAAGGGAGAACGGGTGGGGGGAGGCCTGGCTCGACCAGCCCCTGGCTGGTTGTGTTCGGCAGCAGTATTCCCCCTCTGCTCCCGGTCGCCATCTGCCACGGCGCTGGTGTGAGGAGTGTCAGGAGCGATGTGGGCTCGGCCGGCTGCGTGCGAGGCAGCTGGAGTGATGGCGGCCCGTGTATCGGCAGGGGAGTACATCGATTTCCTGTCGGCACCTTTTTACATCTTATAACACACACCTATACACGTCGGAAGCCTTTCCTATACTGTGTCGATGTGCGGTCGGAGGGTATCAGTTCTGATGCTAAAACCAGCTTAAGCAATGGCACGGCGTGAGGAGAAGATCTCAGTACCCGTGGGACCTAATTAGGAAGGCTTAAAAAGCATCTATATTACTATTAGCTATTGATTTACATTGGGGAACTTTGACTTCTTTGGTATATTTGACCATTCTAGACCTTATTCATGTGCAAATTAAAATATACAGTATATCAAGGAAATGTTGTATGTTTAACAGAACCACGAATTTACCAAGAGTAAAAAAAAAGGCCAATGCAAACCTGCAAACCAGACAGTGTGAAGAGTGTTGACGAAAAACATAGTTCTTCACAAAATATAACAGCTAGTAAACGGGTTAGTTTAGTTAATAATACATTAAGAAAAGTCATCTTATGAAAAAGAGACATTAAATTACACGCCTTTTATTCTTCATGAAAATAATGTTTACACTAATGCTAACACTTTACAACAAGGATCCTTTTGTTAACATTAATTCACATAAAGAATAAAAAAAACACTTCTAAATCATTTATTACTCTTAGTTGATCATTTTTGCATTTACTAATACATTGCAATAGAAAGTTTTATGTTAACATTATTTAATAGGCATGGGCTGACATGAAGTACCAATGAACAGTTGTATTTTTATTAACTAATGTTAATAAAGATGAATAAATACTGTAACAAATGTATTGCTCATTATTAGTTCATTTTAATTAAAGCATTAACTAATGTTAACTAATGGGACTGACCAACCAGACTGCTAGTTTCCTCCTCAGATGTGAGATTTGAGTGTCTGCATCAGAAATACAACTGCAAAAGTACTTGTATCACTAACTGAAACTTATGATTCATTCAGTTGTACCTCATAATGGTGATTGTATGCAAAGTAAAGCGCTTGACGACAAGGAAACCCACCGTTTGTTATTTTTTCTGCCTGGCACTCTTTTGAAGTGCAATAGTGCAATCTTGCATCGCTTGCTGTAAAACAGAATCCCATTTGCCCTTTGTCAGCACAAAACACTTGGATATGAAGGTTTCACTACTGAGTAAGCAGTGAACCTCAGCACAGCCCCTTGAGACACAGGAAATGCACAAAGGTCCCTTCCTCTTGCCGCTCCTTCATCAACACCCCAGTTGCCATACAATCACTTTAAGATTCATTAATTATTCAAATCTAACATGAGCGAGGGCATCGACAGACAACAGCAAAAGTGTATTTACAGACCAAATACAAAGCATGGCATGAGATTTTTGGCTTGGCAGCGGCCTCCTGCAAAATAAGTCTGTGGTGAAAAATACACTTTTATGCAATACTACTAACACATCTGCCTTTCATTCGTGCATCTACCTACCTGCCAGCTATTACATTCAAAGATCTATTTATCTGCTACTTAAGTAAATGTATTACAACATAACAATACCCTGACCAAATCTCTTTACTTTCATTCATATCCATCCAAAGTACATGCATTTGCTTATTTTGCACAAATCTTTTGCACAATGCAACTGATTTTGCAGAACTGATGAATCCACTCATGACCTTTTACACAATATACAGTGCACTGTATTCCTTTTTGTAATTAATTTCTTGTCTATATTGTACTTTTAACTTTAGAAGTTAAATGTATATTGTACATTTCCTATTTTGTATTCTTACTTTATTATTATCCTACTGCATCTTGCATCTTTTTCTCAAGTTTACCTGCAGATGGTTGTTTCTTCATTTCCAGATCCTTTGACTTTTCTTTAAATAAAATATAATGAGCAAAGATTCATATTTACGACTAAAAGCAAGAAAGAAAGATAGAAAGAAAAGAAATAAGGAACTTGAATAACGGTTATACACCACATCTTATGCACAAATGACTAGTGGAATGACAAAGGCAACAGTTTCAGGCCTGTTTGCGAAATTTGCTCAACTTCTGTGTGTTTCATTGTAGCTGACACACCAGCTGAAGCATTGCTTCTTAACGTTTTACTTGTCCTTCTGTTAACATTCACATTACCTCGAAAACGGTATAAATTGATGTGACCAGCGCTTACCCAAAGGATGCCACACATATATAATGAGTGCGTTTTAGGGATGAGTTTCAGCAGAAGTTGTCACAGTATGCAGAATGGTCTAATTATCTCTAGCATGCCCAGCTGCAGGTGTGTGATGACTGGTTAATAGGGTCCGTTAGTGATCGCTGCCTGGGTTTTGTGGGCTTTCGGGTCACCAATGACGCAGAAGATGCACGCTTATGTTCTGCATAATTGCTCACCTGTCTGCAACAACACCAGCCATGCTTTCCTCTAAAAACTCATGTCTGGAAGGCACACACAAACAATGTTTAAGTTCCAGAAAGCAAATCAATTAATGGCTGATCAGTACACGTTACACTAAAAAAATCTTACATTCACCGTCCAAAATTCGTCATCTGTCCTTTTTTAAGAAGTGCTGTTATGAAGTAAAACCTGTCATCTACCTGAGACCACTTTGTCTGGTATTTCCACCTCCATCAATGTGTTGAGACAGTCATGCACAGATCAACAGCGCCATCTTCTGGGCAGTAACGGAAGATTTTATGAAGACAATTCAGAAAAAAATAAAAATAGTTCCTAATAAGTTCAGTCTTGCTTCTAGACCCTCCTAAGGAGGTAAATAATACCCGTAGAGCAAGTCATCTAGGGCCAGATCCAGCCTGCTTGGATTGGGATCACAAAAATTAAAATATTTGCAGTCAATAGATAAAGGGTCCTATCAGTGTTGGGGAAAGTTACTTTTAAAAGTAATGCATTACAATATTGCGTTACTCCATAAAAAAGTAACTAATTACGTTACTTAGTTACTTTTTATGGAACGTAATGCGTTACGTTACTTTTGCGTTACTTTTTAAATCTGGACAGGGCTTGCTTGTTTGTTTTTAAAATAAAAAAGTTCTATTTTTGGCAAATATAAAAGCCTTTTCACAGCAAAAGTGAAATGAATGCGCCTCAGGGTGAAGGGAAAGTACATTTACGTCCGTACAGTAGAATGCAGAAGAAGAAATTTAATAAAAAAGCAATAAAAAAAGACAAATGTTTGTCTAGATTAATTTGTGCCTATTAGTACGGTTGAACTGGATCATCGAAGCTCAGAAGCAAAGACATTGCTTAATAGAATGGGATTAAATACATAAAGTATATTTGTGTTGTTTAACATTTAATACATATTCTGAGTTGCACTATTTTTATTCATTTTGAGGAATACTAAATCTGTGTTTTTTTTTAGGTTTTTTGTGAGTGAGATGAATTAATATGAAATTAATGCATATTCATACTTATTTTAGAACTACAGTAGCATCTTCTGATTTCTCTCAACATGGGGACAGGAGAGCCGTCAGTCAATAAATTGGAAAAAAAAACAATATTGCGTTACTCCATAAAAAAGTAACTAATTACGTTACTTAGTTACTTTTTATGGAACGTAATGCGTTACGTTACTTTTGCGTTACTTTTTAAATCTGGACAGGGCTTGCTTGTTTGTTTTTAAAATAAAAAAGTTCTATTTTTGGCAAATATAAAAGCCTTTTCACAGCAAAAGTGAAATGAATGCGCCTCAGGGTGAAGGGAAAGTACATTTACGTCCGTACAGTAGAATGCAGAAGAAGAAATTTAATAAAAAAGCAATAAAAAAAGACAAATGTTTGTCTAGATTAATTTGTGCCTATTAGTACGGTTGAACTGGATCATCGAAGCTCAGAAGCAAAGACATTGCTTAATAGAATGGGATTAAATACATAAAGTATATTTGTGTTGTTTAACATTTAATACATATTCTGAGTTGCACTATTTTTATTCATTTTGAGGAATACTAAATCTGTGTTTTTTTTTAGGTTTTTTGTGAGTGAGATGAATTAATATGAAATTAATGCATATTCATACTTATTTTAGAACTACAGTAGCATCTTCTGATTTCTCTCAACATGGGGACAGGAGAGCCGTCAGTCAATAAATTGGAAAAAGTAACTCTAAATTAAATTAAAAAGTAATGCGTTACTTTACTAGTTACTTGAAAAAAAGTAATCTGATTACGTAACTCGCGTTACTTGTAATATATTACCCCCCACACTGGGGCCTATCTTAATGATCTACCCAGCTAGACATTTTTTGTTCTAAAAATGTTCTAAGAACATTACCATGGATTGTTCTAGCAATGTTTTTAGCAGGAAGTTTTATTTTTGTTCCCAAAATTCTAAACACTCAAAAAAATGCTTAGCTATTACGTTCCTAAAACATACAATTTTATTAATCTTAAAAATAAAACATCAAAATCTAACAGGTTTATAAAGGGCATCCACTTAATTTATTAATAGTTTTACAAACAGTAAATGCTCAGCATCACATGTTGAAGAACTCAGTAAAGTGCAGTGCATAATCAAGCGTCTGACCGTTGTTTACTCAGAGTGCTCATCATTGTCTTTGCTTGTTGTGGTTCTTGCAGAAAAATGATACAGTCGTCTGTATTAATAGGTGTTCAACTGTTCTTCTCCTCCAGTTTTCCAGCTGCTCTCCCAGTTAGCAGCACTGAGCTCTATTCTCTGTGTGCATGATAAAGTTCTTCATCATGGCCTGTAACAGAGCAGCATACAACAGTATAAACAGAAAGAATACAAATACATATTACATCTTAAGATCACAAACAATACTGAAAAATTTCTAAATTAGCCAGCCTAATTAGTATTCAGAAACTATGTAAAGTCTAATTTATTGAAAGTATACATATGACACCTTATGAGTATCTATATCAGTGGTTCTCAAACTTTGTTGGTCACGCCCCCCGTCAGTAAAGTGCAGTGCATAATCAAGCGTCTGACCGTTGTTTACTCAGAGTGCTCATCATTGTCTTTGCTTGTTGTGGTTCTTGCAGAAAAATGATACAGTCGTCTGTATTAATAGGTGTTCAACTGTTCTTCTCCTCCAGTTTTCCAGCTGCTCTCCCAGTTAGCAGCACTGAGCTCTATTCTCTGTGTGCATGATAAAGTTCTTCATCATGGCCTGTAACAGAGCAGCATACAACAGTATAAACAGAAAGAATACAAATACATATTACATCTTAAGATCACAAACAATACTGAAAAATTTCTAAATTAGCCAGCCTAATTAGTATTCAGAAACTATGTAAAGTCTAATTTATTGAAAGTATACATATGACACCTTATGAGTATCTATATCAGTGGTTCTCAAACTTTGTTGGTCACGCCCCCCGTAAAACCTATAAACCAAATCTGGTGCCCCCCTTTTACCGAATACAACAGTATAAACAGAAAGAATACAAATACATATTACATCTTAAGATTACAAACAATACTGAAAAAATTCTAAATTAGCCAGCCTAATTAGTATTCAGAAACTATGTAAAGTCTAATTTATTGAAAGTATACATATGACACCTTATGAGTATCTATATCAGTGGTTCTCAAACTTTTTTGGTCACGCCCCCCTTTAAACCTATAAACCAAATCTGGTGCCCCCCTTTTACCGAATTCCCATCCCACCTCAGACTACCAAATAATTTCACTAAACATTATGAAAAATTAATGCTTTTTTAATTTTAAAAAGCCTACAGGGAAAAAAACGCCTGCATCACTTGAAACATTGAAAAATTGCATAGAGAGAATAACTGTTATTATTGTTATTATTCTCTCTGTTATTTATTTATTTTTTGTGGGTTTCATGCTGTCCGCTAAGGCATAGGACACACACAGCGACATTACCTCCTCACCAACGACATTAAACACCGTGTCTACACCGGACGCCAGTGGCAAAATACAGTAGAACCCATTATAATCAGTGATGCTGTCTACACTGGATGCGGCGTGGCGCGACACGACAAAACCCGACATTAAACTGATGTCTTGTTCTATTTATACTTTACACAAAGTTAAAATGATTTGCAATGGTCGCTTTGTCACGTCCAGTTTAGAGCTGTTGCGGCGCGACACGACAACTGTAGCGTCCGGTATAGACACGGTGAGTGAAGCCGAGAGCAAGATATGCCTTGTCATATTTTCTGCATTTAGCTTTTGAATGACCAGCACCTGCCTGAGTCTGTGCGACTTCATCTATGGCTTTTCTCTTCGCTTTCAAAAACCGATCTATCTCCCATACCAAGTTATGTCCTTTGGCTGTTTTATTTCTTTTCTTTTTCTGCTGATGGCCCGCGCCCTCCCTGCAATACTAATTTCTTACAGATTTCTGCTCATTTGAAATCAGATATAAAGTGGCACTGTATTTGAATGCATGAGTGTCAGTGACTTTTCTCAAAATTGTGAGATAAAAAGTTGCAATTGTCAAATTCTGACAGGAAAAACGTCAGCTCACAATTCTGGCATTTTCTTGCAACTGTGTGTTTATACAGTGCAATTCTGAGGAAAGAGGGGAAAAAAAGAATTGAGAATTGTATCAGGGTGTCTATCTACAGACCTTTTTAATACAACCTTTCGTGAAATTTAAGACCAAACCTGTGATGGAAATACACAATATATTACATGCATGTGTGATATTTAACGCATTTAATGTTAAAAGAAAACAAAATATCCTCCTGAGACCTAAGCATAGCATTTTGTTTTATCTTTCATAACATAGTTGAGAATCATCTTTATACAAAGTTTGGTTAACGGAAATCCTGAAACCTAAAAATTGATTGGTGAATGAAAAAAAAATCTCAATTGATTGTGCCTATACATGTCTTTTCATGTCATTTTATTATTTTATTTTTTTTTACAAAAATAAAATTGTCCCCTACAGTGTAATGTAATGACAATAAAAGCCAAATTTCACAAAACTTTTTCCCCCTGGTTATCAGGATGATATCCTCACTGTCAAAAATGCTATTCATTATTACCATACAATGAAATTTTCATATCAGCAGACAATATCCCATACAAAATATCCTCACAAAAGCACTGCATCACCAAGATTTTTGGTGGCATAAACATAATAAGAAGCTATATTTTCATCAGTGCTCTATCAGCTTTTACGTACTTAAATCTTCTTGTTTTTTATATTTACTCCAGGATGTTATTTACCTTAATAAAGGCCAATATTTTTTAACCTTATTAAATGTATGCATCATCTGGCTGTTACTAATCAAATTAAATTTACAGTGCAAAATTACAACTGCAATCAATTTTAATAGGCCTATACAAAAAAAGATATGCTGAGGAAAAAATCATACTTTTAAATACACTAAACCGCCAGTAGGTGATGGAAACGCTGTACTGAAACAATGCTGAGTGTTGCTTGGAGAATGTGAAATACTTCTGCTGTCATCTTTCTTTGGAACTATTTTTATTGGTGAAACAGAACAAAACAGACAATATTGTGTCTAAAATGTACTTGTTTGTTGAACTAAAATCAAGGTAATATTTGCACTCGTAAAAATATTCAGCACAATAGTTCCCTTGTCATGGTATGTTACTTAAATACATCATGTTAGAAATAAACTAAGCATGTTGAATTTTTACCTCAATATGTTTTTATGAATGCCGTTACACATTAAATTTCTCCATGAAAGTTTTTCACAAACAATCAGGCAGCGCAAGCCTCAACAACAGCTGTTTGCGCTGAATGTAAAAAAATCTAAAGAATAATTTTAACCCAGGGCCACCGATGAAATCCGAGAGCTCTCTGACCCTTCATAGACAGCAACGGTACTACCACCACGGTCAAGGCACAGAAACATAGTAAGGACGTCATTAAAATGGTCCATGTGACATCAGTTCAATCATAATTTTACAAAGCTATGAGAATACTTTTTGTGCACAAATGCCTTTTGTATTTGTAATATCTTACCTAAGTGACATGTGGCCAAGTATGGTGACTTACTTGGAATTAGTGCTCTGCATTTACCCATCCAAAGTGCACACACACACACACACACACACACACACACACACACACACACACTACAGACCTTTTTAATACAACCTTTCGTGAAATTTAAGACCAAACCTGTGATGGAAATACACAATATATTACATGCATGTGTGATATTTAACGCATTTAATGTTAAAAGAAAACAAAATATCCTCCTGAGACCTAAGCATAGCATTTTGTTTTATCTTTCATAACATAGTTGAGAATCATCTTTATACAAAGTTTGGTTAACGGAAATCCTGAAACCTAAAAATTGATTGGTGAATGAAAAAAAAATCTCAATTGATTGTGCCTATACATGTCTTTTCATGTCATTTTATTATTTTATTTTTTTTTACAAAAATAAAATTGTCCCCTACAGTGTAATGTAATGACAATAAAAGCCAAATTTCACAAAACTTTTTCCCCCTGGTTATCAGGATGATATCCTCACTGTCAAAAATGCTATTCATTATTACCATACAATGAAATTTTCATATCAGCAGACAATATCCCATACAAAATATCCTCACAAAAGCACTGCATCACCAAGATTTTTGGTGGCATAAACATAATAAGAAGCTATATTTTCATCAGTGCTCTATCAGCTTTTACGTACTTAAATCTTCTTGTTTTTTATATTTACTCCAGGATGTTATTTACCTTAATAAAGGCCAATATTTTTTAACCTTATTAAATGTATGCATCATCTGGCTGTTACTAATCAAATTAAATTTACAGTGCAAAATTACAACTGCAATCAATTTTAATAGGCCTATACAAAAAAAGATATGCTGAGGAAAAAATCATACTTTTAAATACACTAAACCGCCAGTAGGTGATGGAAACGCTGTACTGAAACAATGCTGAGTGTTGCTTGGAGAATGTGAAATACTTCTGCTGTCATCTTTCTTTGGAACTATTTTTATTGGTGAAACAGAACAAAACAGACAATATTGTGTCTAAAATGTACTTGTTTGTTGAACTAAAATCAAGGTAATATTTGCACTCGTAAAAATATTCAGCACAATAGTTCCCTTGTCATGGTATGTTACTTAAATACATCATGTTAGAAATAAACTAAACATGTTGAATTTTTACCTCAATATGTTTTTATGAATGCCGTTACACATTTAATTTCTCCATGAAAGTTTTTCACAAACAATCAGGCAGCGCAAGCCTCAACAACAGCTGTTTGCGCTGAATGTAAAAAAATCTAAAGAATAATTTTAACCCAGGGCCACCGATGAAATCCGAGAGCTCTCTGACCCTTCATAGACAGCAACGGTACTACCACCACGGTCAAGGCACAGAAACATAGTAAGGACGTCATTAAAATGGTCCATGTGACATCAGTTCAATCATAATTTTACAAAGCTATGAGAATACTTTTTGTGCACAAATGCCTTTTGTATTTGTAATATCTTACCTAAGTGACATGTGGCCAAGTATGGTGACTTACTTGGAATTAGTGCTCTGCATTTACCCATCCAAAGTGCACACACACACACACACACACACACACACACACACACACACACACACACACACACACACACACACACACACACACACACAGAGTCTCGGGGGTGCCGCGGTGCTGTGCAAATATGGATTTCTCTTTCAAGACGTGCGTTTGAACTAACAAACTAACAAAAAAAATAAGTGAACATGCCCGTGTTTGAGAGTCTCCTTGCAGACATCGTTGGCCGTGTCTTAAGTGAGCGTAAAGTCGTGTATCAGTGATCTGTGAGTTAAGTCTTAAAGGAACAGCAGTCGAATCTTCACACACACACACACACACACACACAGTGAGTGTTGGGGGTTCAGTGCCTTGCTCAAGGGTGCCTCAGTCGTGGTACTTGAAGTACATTCACTCCCCCCACCTACAATCCCTGCCGGTACAAGACTTGAACCCACAACCTTTGGGTTACGAGTCCGACCATTAGGCCACGACTTCCCCACTAAGACTGCTATTACCACTACATACTATAGTTGCTAGACTACCAAATCAAAAACACATAGACTTAGACTTAATGCTTATATCTTTCCCATTACCCCATTATTAATTACTGAAAGATTATTAACTTTTAAATTCTAAAGACATAATCAGATGAACACTTAAGTAGCAAATATAAAGCACAGAACACTATATTACAGTAACACTACAGCAAGAGTTTTCAAACCTGTCCTTTGAAATGAGGTCTAAGATGACAAATTGTGCAGGCCTGGGGGTCCTCCAGGACAGGTTTGAAATCCACTGCACTACAGTATAGGGAACATAGTCTCTATTAACTACAACGTTTGCCTTAATTAACTCCTAATTTACTGCTTATTAATAGTTGGTAGGGTAGTTTTTGTAGCATTTAAATTTAGGTATTGGGTAGGATTTAGGGATGTAGAACAAGGTCATGCAGATACCAATGAACAACCAATATACTAGTAATATATGCAAGCTAATAAGCAACTAGTTAAAAGTGTGAGCTGAACTCTAAAATAAAATGTTAACAACATTAACGTTACCTAGAAAGTAGAAACAGATTAACGTTACAGTACCTTTGTTGTAAATGGAGATTTTTATTGCGAATCCGTGTTCATCTTCAAGCAGGCAGTTTGGGTTCTGGATGAAAACAAATCTAGCTGTTATTCAAAAGCAGCAATACACCCAAAATTAATGCATCTGTCATATAATTCTAAGAAAGTAAGATCCAGCCCCAATACTGAAAGATATCTAGGCTATATCAAATGTGCATGTGAAAAAGGTATAAAGATAAAAAAGAATTGTTTCATTTGATTGAAACTTTTTTGATAGATTTTTGTGTATGTAAATACGTAAAAGATAAAAAAGAATTACGTAAACTGAAAAAGCCAGATTGGAAATGTCCAAGTATCGTACCAGAAGCTTAAAATTATCGTATTTGGAAAAAATGATCGTACACGAGTAAAAACGTACAGAATACAGCTATTTATCTACTAGACTAAAACAACAACTTTTGACACAACCTTCAAATTACCACAATAAATAAATAACTATGCTAGGGCCCTATGAAATACGTTTTATTTTTTCCCAAATTCCTTTTTTTATTTTTTTTCCAAATTAAAACAAATTTTGGATTCTGTTTTTTTTTCCATTTCAATTTTTCTGGACTCCTTTTTAAATGGTTAAATTACATTTTATTAATCAAAAGCACGTCTAATTAAATAATGAAATGTATACAATTCAACATCAAATCTATTAAAAAGTTTAACAAAAATGCCAGATTGGAAATGTCCAAGTATCGTACCAGAAGCTTAAAATTATCGTATTTGGAAAAAATGATCGTACACGAGTAAAAACGTACAGAATACAGCTATTTATCTACTAGACTAAAACAACAACTTTTGACACAACCTTCAAATTACCACAATAAATAAATAACTATGCTAGGGCCCTATGAAATACGTTTTATTTTTTCCCAAATTCCTTTTTTTTTTTTTTCCAAATAAAAAAAAATTTTGGATTCTGTTTTTTTTTCCATTTCAATTTTTCTGGACTCCTTTTTAAATGGTTAAATTACATTTTATTAATCAAAAGCACGTCTAATTAAATAATGAAATGTATACAATTCAACATCAAATCTATTAAAAAGTTTAACAAAAATGACAGGGTCTTATGAAATATTCTATTTTTTTCACCTTGTTTATTGTTACCAAATTCTGTTTTAATTTGTCTAATTATTTGAATGCATAAAAACTACTTTTATTTATACCTTATGAAATTGTTTTTTTTCTTTAGAAATTCTGCCTTATGTATTTAAATTTTTCTGGTTATCGAATGAAGGCATAACACATT